TCATTGCCGGGCCAGGCCAGCTGGCAGGGCCAGGTCTTCAAGCCCTCTTGAAAGGCCAGAAGTGAGGATCTCACCTGGGGGGAGGGGGAGGATGCTTCAAGTGCCTGTGCAGAGTTGACCATCACATCCCCTTGTTTGAACTGAGGCCTCTATGCCAGGCAGGCCTGACTGTCTCAGCAATGAAGGAAGGGATTTAGTTGTTAACACCAGCACACACACACACATACACACACACACACACACACACATTTTTCATTATTATTAATTAATAAACTATAAGGGTAAGCAAATCTATTTCTGAAGAAATTATTCCTTTTGAAAATGCAAGAGCCCAAAGGCAGCTTAAAAACATTAATAAAACAGATAGATGCAATGAAATCAAGATACCTACACAAGAAATAAATGCCAAGTCCACGTGGACTCTTGACAGCAAAGGTTCTAAGCCAAGGAGCAAGTAAAGCTGAGCCGGGGATGGCCTGCCTGAGCAGTTGGCTCTGGGACTCCTCATCCAGCCAATTCTGCCCGTGGCAAATAGAAAGCCTCGCTTAATGCTCATACATTAATCACCCAGCATCCTCATAAGAACCACAAAAACATTTATTTTGCTACTTAGCACTTTGTAGCTCCCAAGTTGTCATTTCAGTTGTCAAATGAACTGGGGAGGCTGTGAGCAGTTGCACTTAAAGCTATCCAACTGGAACGTTTAATGGTAGAATAATATTTCAAAGTTTGATTTTTGGGAACTGGGAGAATATGTTAGGACTGCTTGGGACTTTTAAACTGCTCTGGCAGTTCACATCTAGGAAATGGGCATTGTGCGTTTCCTCCAGAGTTGTGTAGTTTTGCAAGAAAGTCTGATTAGATCTTGTGGCTCAGGGTCTGCCAGACAAAGGCCCAATCCTAACAATTATGTACAATGAGTCCACTGTGGATATATAAGCAGAAGCTTATACACACACACACACACAGGGCAGTAATTAGGCACCCAGACAATTGGTTCTTTTGGATCCAGAAACAATGATCACTCCAGTAACTAAAGGGATTTGAAGTTTTATTATTAGCCCCCAAACTAGATAGAAATACATAACATCAAAACATACATATCAAGCAAGATAATATCCAAATCTCTTACAAGCTGCTGGGAACTCCTTAATAACGACAGCAGAGATACCCTGCAGGCAACCAGTTTCTCAGCTGTACCCAATGCCAGGTTTCATGCAGACGTTCCCCACAAAAAACACCTCAAGATTTCTATCAAAACGAGGCACCGTGACTTCATGGCCCTGCTATGCTCAGGAGGCTGCAAGGCTGACCTTGACTGGGTGTTGCAGGGGTCTCGGGTGGGAAGGAAGTCTGGGGCCTTTCACAGCAAGAGAATCTTTGAAGTTATGTGAAATTGGCAAGGATGGCTCTCTCCCTCTAGCCGGTGGTGTAAGGTTCCAGGGGTCACCAGAACCTTACAAAGCTATCAAACTAATATGGAAGTGACACAAACGGAAATGTAGCTAATTATGAAAATGAGTCATTGAGAGAAGCTGGCCTGGCTGACCCTCTGGCCTTCAAGGGCGAGGAGGAACCCTCAGTCCCTTTGGTCCAGTCATCAAGGACAGTTGCCCTCTCTTATGGGGGATGCAACCACCACTCTTCTCTTGCAGCCAAAGCCGCAACACGCCATCACCATTGCTGTGTCCTCCCGAGCCCTCTTCCGCATGGAAGAAGAGCAGAAGATTTACACCGAGCAGGGCGTGGAGGCCTACGTGAAGTATCAGCTGGAGCACGAGGAGGAGCCCTTCCTGCCTGGAGCGGCTTTCCCTTTTGTCAAGGTATGGTCTCTTTGGCTCACGTTCACACATGCCAACGTTGCAGATGCTGGTCCACATTGGGGGTGGGGTGGGGGAGAAGTCAGCACTCTTGGCCATTTCCTCAGAGGCAAGGTCTGGGGCTTTCCCCCATTTTGCTCTTCCGCCCATCTGCAGGCCCTCTCTGGGCCTTGGAGAGCAGGACTCCCATACTTGCTGGAGATTGTTAGTTGGGCCAACGTCAGTAAGCAGCCATGGACAGTTTGAGCCCTTCTTATCTGACGATCCCTTAAGTGAACATGTTACCTCTCTGGTCCAACCATTTTCTCTCGCTGGTTTTCCAGGCTCTGGAATCGGTCAACATCCAGCTGCGGGAACTGTTCCCAGACAGTGAGGAACTTTTTGACATTGTCCTTGTGACCAACAACCATGCGCAAGTGGGTGTTCGCTTGATCAACAGCATCAACCATTACAGTAAGTAACCGGAAGGCAAGATCCCTTGCCAACATCCACCCAGCCACTAATCCCTTCACCGATGTCCACCAAATGGGGCAGTGGGCTCAATGCTTGGAAGGCTTGTCCACTTGTACAGCCCTGCATCTCTCATCAGTGCATCCACTGAGACAGGAGGAAACTCTACCTCTTCACTTCCTTAGGGAGCTTATTCTCTGGAAATGGGCTGCCTTATATTCATTTCACATTATGTGTCACAACTCTGCTGGCTCAATAGGAAACAGTGTCTTGGACACCAAGGAACAGCTCTTTTCAGGAGCAACTACTAAGGAGCCTGGCTTTCAGCACACAGCCTCTCAGAGGTTTTTAATATACAGTGAAACCATGGTACTCATTGATAATTAATTCCGGGAGGCATGATGAATACCAAAAATGTTGAGTACCAAACAAATTTTTCCCACAAGGAAAAATGTGATGAGTCACAAGGCAGCCAACACTGACAGGTAGGTTCTAGCTTTTGTGTTGAGTACCAAACAAATGATGAGTATTGGGACACAAATTTCACATCAAAATGCACTGAGAACCAAATTTGATGAGTTTCAAAGCAGCCGAGTACCAAGGTACCATTATACGGCATTCTTCTTTTGGAACTGCACTGCCAAATTTCTGCCCAGATTAACTCTCTGTCTCCTTTAGTGCTTGTGCTGTTACATTAAATACGGCCAGTTTTGGCAACTCTTCAGGTACTTCCAGGATCCTTCTCCCTTCCCACCATGGTGTCCTCCAGACGTGCTGGCCAGGGATTTTGATCCACAAAGAAGCCTGGGGATGGCTAGATCCTGTTTACCAATGAAGCATCTCTTCTTTTCCTCCCAGATCTCTTCATTGAGAGGTTTTGTATGACTGGTGGGACTAGCCCCATTTGCTACTTAAAGGCCTACCACACCAACCTCTACTTATCCTCGGACTGTGAGAAAGTGAGTGAGGCCATAGAAGAGGGTGAGTGATGCTCTTGTGTGGAAGCATAGCAGAAGTTTGGGGACCTTTTGGACTGAAGAAGTGGGAAGATAAGACAGATTTGAGTCTGTAGGTACCTGTGGGGACACACGTTTTCTAAAATCCAAAGCAAAGCCAACTTTACCACTTGTTACTCCAGGAATCATGACCGTTGCAATTTTACTCATACAGTCTTGTGAGCCATTTAGATGCGTTTGTTTAGGTTTATAAAGAGTCATTTTGGTGCGGCACTTAGAGCATCAGGCCAGAAAGCAAGAGACTGTGAGTTCTAGTCCTACTTTAGGCACAAAGCCAGCTGGGTGGTTTGCAATGGCAAACCAATTTCTGAATTGCCATGAAAACTGCAGGGACTTGTCTAGGCAGTCTCCAAGAACCAGAAGTTTAGAAAAAGATTTAGTGGTTGTCGTCCCCCAGCCCCACACACACATTATGTGCTTGTTAGCTTTCCATGTCCTGACAGAAACAGAGGTGAAGCATCTGTTGCAATCTCTTAGCATGTAAGAGAGGCCTTCGTGGGGCAAAGTAACCTTTAACTGAAGTTTGATTGCTTTATCAGAATCAGGTTGCTTAGAATCAGGTTGTGATTTCTGCCAGTCGAAAGAATGTGAAGATCTTGTTGGCTCAGTGGCACAAGACTGATCAAAGGCATTGGCCAGCTGCTAAGTCCCAAAGAGTCAGAAGCTTACACATCTAGAGGACACTTTGACAGGAAAGAGACTTTTAGGGAATCCTCCTGCCAGATGTGAGAAGTGGTGGGGAGGATGGCAGAGGGATGGAAGGAGAAGATACAGAAAGTGAGACAACTGATCTCACACATCATTCAGAGATTTTGCCATTATAAATGAGATTTGGAAATTCCTTTTACTGTTTCCCAAACTCTATAGTTATCCACAGATAAGCCTGAAATAGACCTCACTGAAGTCTGTGAACTTCTTGCTTAAGGTGACCAAACGTCCCGATTTCAGCGTGGCAAGCACGCTTTATAACAATTTTTCACGTGTCCCTCTGCGTTTTAAAAAAAGTCCCGATTTTTTTCTGGCTTCATGTATGTTGAAAGCCCAGTGGATTTGCTTAAGAAATCCTAACCGGGGCAAGAAATCCTAACCGGGGCAAGACAAAAGACACCCTGTCTAACTAACCTCTCTCTCTGTCTCAGTACTTTCATTGAAGATATTAAAACTTTAAAGCAAGAAAACGGACCCCCCCCCTTACTCACTTTTATAAGAAAAAATGAACCATTACCATAGGGCTGCAGGAAACACCTGGCTAGAGAGGGAAGTAACTGTTACTTCCTGGATTTTCTGGAGGGGAGGGGCACGGAGTTTGGAGGGCTGCTCGTGTGGGAAAAATGGTGCTCTTCTTTTTTCTTTGAAAACTATTTCCCTGGGACTATTTAACCATTTTAATTTGCTCAGTTCTTTGTATTAACATCTACATCATTCTGGATTGACTTGGAGTGTCTGCCTACTG